TATTAACTACCGCTCACTTACTGATTTCCACTTGTCAATGTTAAATTCTGCCCAATGGTGTTTGTACATCAATTATATTTTTAATATTTGACATGCAATTCTAATCAAATGCAAACTATTTTTTATACATATCATCTGAGCCTACAATTTGCTATGAAATGGGGTGCATGCATCTTAATTTAAATCGTGATATAAATTAAGTCATTTGTCAGGAGTTACTCACTGACAGCTCATGTTAGTCATGTATCTCTGTAACACAAAGCTTTAGCAGTTGCATATGACGTTTTTGTATCGTCATTCGTCATCAAAAAGTGGTGAAACCTATCCTGATCAACGCTGTTTTTGTGGAAGGCGTTCAGCATTTATAGAGTGAAGACAATTGTTACACATTTTGTAACGCAACCAGGTGGTGGTGTTTTCTATTTACCTTAAGCTACGCTATCGGTTTGTGGTATTGCAATATACCTAAATAACTGGATGTATATTTTATAAGACTGATAAGCAGATCTTTAGAGCAAAACTCTTAGACCTTTCGATAAGTGTCAAAGGTTACATGTCAAATATCACCGCTAAGTACTGCACAACTGCATTCCCAGACGGGGTTATAACCACGTAATCGCTGCAGAAATATAGTACGCATTATCACTGGGGAGTATCGTGATGCAACAACACCGTGTTGTTGCATCAAGATGGCCAGACTTCCGGTGATAGATTTTCGTACGATATTTTGTTTCCCCACTTTAAACCCATTTCTAGGACGAGTTGCTCAATAACCATACACGTGCAGTTAGCGCATGATCTATATTTAAAGAAACTGTCATTAGTATACATGTAACCATCACCAAGAAGCAATAAGTTCACGGTTTTAGTTTCTCACTATTGATGCAACAACACCAAACTGAAGATGCAACAACACTCCTCTAGATTTGAGCAATGATGCAGCAACACCAATTAATAGTATAATTTCAGAAGACCATAAATCTCGAGAGGAACAGATTTTTAAATGCTACTATTGCAACACCGTTACCCATTACCCATATTTGCGTTCTTCTCAAGGCATTCAAAATACACGTCCTGCGGGCGAAGATCCTTTATATGTATTTTCAAAAATTTATACTTTTAAATATTATAATGTACTGGACGTTGTTCTATAACATAGTTTAATCGCCTTTAACATGGCATGACAAACATCTTTATTTCCTCCAATTTGGAGAGCAAACGTGTAAAAACGTCTAATTGACTATATTAGAGAGGCCGTTTAGTTACACGTTTAATGGAAATCTTGCACGACGCACGTATGTAGAATTATTGCTTTCTTTGGATTCCTTCTCTCCGACTGAGTAAAAAGGTAAACAAAAGTGATAAGATTAAGGACCCAAAAAGGTAAATTGATAGGGGTACAGTTATCCCAGATATCCCGGGCCCTCGGGAAATATCATATTGTCTCTCATCCTATACAACTCTTGAGAACGATGTATAACTCCTGGATAGCGCAAACTCCTGAGCAGCGTATACAACTCTTCAACTTGATATATGACATCATTCTTTGGGTGGGATAACAAAGGATATACAATTGTAGACCTCTCTTGAGGTCAACTGGCAAAATTGTATACCGATACTGTAATCCTTTAAAGTTCGGAGGTCGAGGTCAACAGTACTCTCACGGTTTACTGTTGAGTTATACACTTTGGCCAGTTGACCGAATAGAAAGGTTAACAATTGTTTGTTAGTCCGAAGAATATAATAATTTGAAGGATATAATATACATTTGCAGACCTCTCTTAAGGTCAACTGGCAAAATTGTATACCGATATTGTAAACCTTGAAAGCACTGTTGATCAAGACCAGAGGTCGAGGACACTTTTGCCAGTTGACCGAAAAGAGAGCTTAACAATTGTTCTGTTAGTCCAAATAATATAATAATTGGACGAATATATAATCGAATATCACGTGAACATATTTGATAAGTAAAGGTATCATATTTTAGCAAAAAATCCCCAAACCGTCGAATACTTGTAATTTTTTACACAATTTATTTTTTCAAAATTAAAAAAAATTCAACATTAAAAAACAATTTTTCAAAAATAGCGGTCAACAGTACCTAGTAGTGGTCAACAGTTTACAATTGTTGACCTCCCCAGATGTCAACCGGCAAAATTGTATACCGAGACTGTAAACCGAAAAACTACTGTTGACAGAGACCGAAGGTAGAGGTATATGATTTTGACGGTTGATCGAATGGAGAGGTCTATAATTGTTTTGTTAGTCCGAGTAAACTTATTCACCTTTCCACAAACACTGGGGGGTATCGTGATGCAACAACACCGTGTTGTTGCATCAAGATGGCCAGACTTCCGGTGTTAGATTTTCGTACGATATTTTGTTTCCCAATTTAAACCCATTTCTAGGACGAGTTCTCAATCAACCATACACGTGCAGTTAGCGCACGATCTATATTTAAAGAAATTGTCATTAGTATACATGTAGCATCATCAAGAAGCAATAAGTTCACGGTTTTAGTTCCTCACTATTGATGCAACAACACCAAACCGAAGATGCAACAACACTCCTCTAGATTTGAGCAATGATGCAGCAACACCAATTAATAGTATAATTTCAGAAGACCATAAATCTCGAGAGGAACAGATTTTTAAATGCTACGATTGCGACACCGTTACCCATTACCCATTTGCGTTCTTCTCAAGGCATTCAAAATACACGTCCTGCGGGCGAAGATTCTTTCAATCGTCTTTAACATGGCAAGCTACAGTAACCCAATCTATTTTCATAAACCACTGTTCCATAGCTTGATGACCCTGACTCCATTTAGTATCATTCAAAATGGTGGACAAACATCTTTCGTTCT